ATTTTATTTTTGTTGTTTATAAGACCGTTATAACAAAATATAAAAATGTCATTCCTACATTTTTTACTCTAAAAAATGTAAATTAACTTCAAGTATTAAAACCTTTTTACTGAAAACGTTGTTTCTTCAAGATCTTATTTAGAGATGTAACTTGGAAATCTGTTACAATTCTTCTAAATAGTTTATAGAGCTCTACAACATAAGCTTTATTAGTAAGAAAAACACCTTTGGCGTGAAGGAGATTGCTTCAAAATATAACAAAAAATCAATTACTCTAGGACTTACTTCTATACTTCATGTTGAATGAATTCTTAAAAAACAAACATTTTTTATTTTAGTTCAACTTTATAGCAAAGGATTACCAAAATATATCATTTTTTGCCACAAAAGCATAATCCACATTTTTTATATATTATAAATTAAAACTTTGATCTCAGTATGTTAAAGTTGAACACGGGGAAATGAAATTTTGATGACAAACTATCATTATTTTACAACAACTTGAAATTTTCAATAATATGGAACATAGTAAATTTGTTTACATATTTCCTTTCAAGGCCACTTTATTGAATTTTATTATCCAAATCTTTTTATTTTACTTTAATTCCCAACTATGATAAATCAGTTTCTTAATAAAGGTATTTATGATCAGAGATCAGTAAAAGGTCAGATCACTGAGCAAAGTTGAAAAGACATTATTATTATCATCATCAGATAGGAATTTATTTATGCTGTGAAATTTCCAAAGTTTTGTTGCAACATTAAAAATACTTCCTTTTGTCTTAGAATTTATATATTTTTTTTACATTTTTGATTAGAAAGTTCATTTTATACATACAGTAAGTTTCAACTTCATATTTTCCCAATTACAGTAGTTAACACTCATTTAAAACTTGTAAAAACACGGTGAAGAAGGACAAAGATTTATTAGTGACCTGTGACTTGGCTTGTCACAATGGATTCAGTTTAAGCAAGGTAGCAAATTTTGGCTAGTACATTAGCAGATTTAGGATGAACTTCACAACTTTTGTGAATTTTTATATTAATCACGAGTCATAATAAAGTGAGTATTTTTTGTGCGTTCTTCCACACCTAAAACCATATAAACTACATTAAATGATAATGTGACAATGCCTAACACTGAAAAAGTGTGATCGAAATTGAAAAACTCAAAACTGCAACTCAGTTGGTCATGGTACGGGTTTTGCTACCTAATCTGACCATACAAGTTTCATATTACAATTGTAAGCTACTTACTGTTAAATTAACAAAATTGTAGAACTTTCTGAGCACTTCTACCATGATAGCAAAATTTCCATCTGGCATATGACTTCTCAGAAGATCAGCATAGTCCTGAAAGAAGTATTAAATCAGTGATTGTGAAAAAAAAATCTGAAAAACTGATCACAAAAAATATATATGAAATAAAACTGTTAAATATGCATTTAAAAGCACTTTCCATTCAAGAACCAATTTATTAACATAAAATTCTTCGTTTACCGAGGAATTTTCATTGTATGTTTAAATAGCTGAAATACCATTACAAAGATGTACATCAAAATTGGAAGCACAGTAGGGGGATCATGACAACTATTTCATCAATAAGCAAAAATGAAAAGTAACTGGGTTGAAATTCAATGAAATCATTATAATTTAGTGAGAAAAATTGATTCATCTAACCTGATATGCTCTTAGTTAAAACATTAGATTAATTGTCACAGTTCTGACATTATGTAGTAGGGGTGCCATACTGAGTTAAGTGCAGTGTTAGACGAAGACCAAGTTTTCAAAGAGCGTATTCCCTAAATAAGGTATGTTATTTTGTTTAGTTTTTCGTTAATAATATTGGCTAATTTAATAGTTACTAAATCAAATGTAACTACTTGCATTTCAATTTGTCTTCTATTTTAAAAAGACTGATTTGCACTGTTAGCTTAAAATTTTTATTTAGAACTACCTTAAATCTCCTAAGCTAGCCAAACCTCATGATATATTACTGGGTTTATGGCCAAATATTGTTAAGTGAGGATACCCATTGGATGAAACAATGCATTTTAATCTTTATAAGTAGATATGTAAGAAAAGTATACTTAATCAGCTTAAGCAGTTCACCTACTCCAACACTGTAAAATAATCTAAAAACAGATGTCTTATGCACTCTCACTAACAACTATTAGTACACTGTCTCGGTTATCACTAAACAAGAAACATTTGTTGTAGGAAATATTTTCATACATCTGCAATTTGATGTTGGAGAGAATGTAAATGTAAATCTGTGAATGACATTCATCCTCCTGTTTATGCTTTCTGCTCTTGTAAAAAGCCAGTCTCCATCTACATTACTTGATATTTCCTGTTGATTCTTTTTCCTCCTGTTTGTTTCTCCATATTTAGCACCATGTCTGGATACCTGTCTTTGATCAAAACTACACAGTTGTGATGAACTCAATGACCTCTTGCACAAGACACATTTGAGATTAACGAAATATGCTTTTGGTTCCACACAGCATTTTGAGTATTGCTGTATATTCAACCTTAGATTGCATTCTCAGCACAACTGAAGAAATTTGGGCCAGAGCTATATTGTTCCTGCTCCCAAGTGCTTCACAGCCTTCATAGCTTCATCCATCAAGACTAATTACAACTTTAGTACGTCTGTGGCAATGTGTCTTGCACAAACTAGAATTAGCCATGCAAAATCTTCTCCTGGCAAAATGGATGGCACTCTGGGGCCACAGTTCACCCAGCATATTTTGTCACAAAATATTTGTCTTTCCCTTAAAAAGAAAGATGTGACTGCCCCAATGGCATATATCATCAGGAAGCCCTTTCTTGATTTAAATGCTGCTGGAAAGAGTACCAGCTAAGGCATTTAATGTATTGTGCCTTTTCTGGTTGAAGCAATGTAACTCAACCATGTGAATATACTTAGGGCAAAATATCTTTTACTATGCCATGCCACATTATTCCTACTATATAGCTTTGACCATTGAAGATTTGAGAGACCAAATCCTACGTGAAATATGGGCTTGAAATCTTCCACAAACTATCATCACCATATAAACAGAACATTCCCTAAAAATATCAATTGCGTAACCCAGACAGAACTATTTCAAATCACATCATGTCATTTTTTGCCTTTACACTTGCAATCTTAAAGCACAATGTTGGAGCACATTCCCATCAATGTGTTATGATTTTTTCTGCTACTGTTTATGTCACACTTGTTCAAGATTATCTTCAACCATTGAAACCAATTTCCATCTCATTTTACTGTTTTACTAGTAAGAAAAACATAATAGGATCTCACCCATACACTTTCATTTTTCATACATACTCAGTCTACCTAATGAGGTCAGGTATAGAGTGACTGGTCTCTTTAGCAGGATCACGAATCACAAAGTACATCTGGTCAAGATACTAATGTGTTCTCTTACGGGAAACTCGTATTAAGCCAGTACAGAAACACCTCAACTATAATCTGCATGCTCCACCTGGCTGCTAACAAACCCTTTATATCAATACTAGAGCACATCAAGTTGGTTAAGCATGTGTGAAGACACGATGTTCTTCTTCCTCTAAACCCATATATGGTCAGTAATGAAAATTTGTTATCAATATTATCAGTCTTATTGTGATGTAATGTCATACAAAACCCCACTGTGTGGTTTCTTAACAATTCAGTACTGAATATAATACATATTAAGAGACAATTCTGAAATTATTCTAAAAACAGTTATTCACTGAAAAATTTAGCTTTTATTGAAAAATTTGACACAACTAATTTAAATCACTTGTTTCAAGTTAAAAAGAAAAAAAATATTTGACATGTGCATATACTGTGTATAAAAGTCAGTATGAATATATGCATTATTTTTCCTATTATATCAAATGCAGTAAATCAGTAATTCAGTTGATCTGTAGTTATCACATTTGAAGTAATTTAAGAGCAGAAAGTATCAGTTTTTTATGCAGCCAGTTAATTATTTTCCAAAGGATAGGTGAAAATGAGAAATATTACGTGCTTATATATATATATATATACATCTTTTTCTTCTAAGATATGTTGTGTGAAATTGTTACTGAAATTAAACTCACCTTACTATGCTGGATTACACAACCCAGCAGAATAGCAATATAGGCTGCAATGATACTGTGTTCCATATTCTTTCCTGTCTTTTTGAAGAGCTGAATTAAGAAAAGAAATAAAATTCTACAGATGCATATCATGTTTAATAAAAATTACATCATTTACATAAAAAATACATTTAAATTAATAAATCAAGCAAGATGTGTGTGTGTACATTTATATATTTGTAAGATAACTTGTTAGACTATTTAATTAAAATATGTAAATTACAACATTTTTTGCCTTCCCAAGTCCTATATCCAAAATAACACTAGATTAGACTATCAGTTTTATCTCTAGATCTCAAATAATATTAAGTAATGAATTATATATGTTCCTTCTCCTCCAACTAATCCTAAATAATCTTAAAAGGTATCTGACACAGCTACAATCAGCATATAATCTTAATCTTTACAAATGGTATAACTAGTTTTGAGGTGATACTTCCACTGTACAGAAAAAAAAATTACTTTCCTTAACCAAAATAGAACTCAATCATAATAAAACACTCTCATGTAAGGTTCAGGCTTTGTTCACACTGACAGTAAATACAACAATGTGAGTTTGTTTCTTCTGGTCCTTTTTTTTTTATACAACTATCTCTATGAGCATTTAAACCTAACTCGGAAACCATTTTAAAAGGACCACGATTTTAAGAAAGAACTTTATAAAAGCAATAATATTTTAATAATATTCTTCAGTAATTATTTTGTAATCATTTTTGAAATATAAATGCTCTTGTGTTTGTGGTTTTCATTCCATACGTATAGCAGAACCACTAGAGCTTATAGTTTCTGAAAATCAACTTATTAAAATCAATTTGGAGTTGGTTCTCAACTAAAAGTTAAGCACAACATGAATCACACTAACCTTTCATTAAAGTTTCTTCCAAGTCCTCAGCTTGTGAAGACTGAGATGAAGATGCTCCACTTTCTTGAGTTTTGTCTTCCGTGTTTTCACTTTGAGCCTGCTGCTTTTTTTCTTCGGGTGTGCTTAGAAGAGCATCTGCTTGTTCCTCAGACTGACGTGCAGCATCTATCCGATCCACAAAAACCTGTAGTTGAAAAAAAAAAGATACAAGATAGAATAAAAGATAACGTCTTAATATCAAGATCTACTCTTCTTTTATTATAAAAATTATATTTTTTTTTACTTTTAGTTATCAATGCATAAAAATCATATGTTCAGCAAGTATCTCAAAACTTTGTTTGCACTTGCATTAAATTCTATTAAATAAAATTATATTAAGTGAAAATCACAGTTGATTCTCAGGTACTTGTGTTACATTTAACTACAAAAAGTTATTTTATATAAATAAATTAAAATATATTAATTTTTATATATATATAAGGGTATCAGTTATTTTTTGAACCATATAATAAGAAATTGAATTTTGACTTATATAATACAGCAGTCCCAGATCAAGTAATGTACATAAGAACAATAACACAACTATATATTAACCAAATCCACTCCAGTGTATGAGTTACGACAGAATGGATAACATCAATAGTACACTTAAATCAGTGAGCAGAAAGCATTTTGATGATTTTAAATATCCACTTTATATACTGCTAAAGATATTAGGATATTTAAACAAAGTAAACTATTCACTAATATAAAAGCCACTCACATCAACAAAGGCCTCAACCGCTGACACCATTTCTCCATCATTCTGTGAATCAAATGACCCAAGAGTTTGAGCAACAATAAACTTCTCTCTGTTATCACTACAATTTTCCATCAGGTTGATCATCAGACCCAAAGACTGAAAAACATATTTAGCTGAGATTAGAGAAGAATTTAAATACTAGCTTGGCCACATTCACATAAAGTTTTTCATACATGTACAGTTTGTATTTATGACAAAGCTACTAAAATTATCTGATGCCATTCCTAATTCAGAGCTACTGATCAGATAGAAGGCAGCTGGTCAGCAACACCCTTCGAGCCACCGTCCACACTGTCAGCCTTGTACAATTTAAAGTGCAGAGAATATTTTTAGTATTGCATGGATTCAAACCCTGTTCACCAGCTCCATAATCCAGAGCTCTACCATATGGTCAACCTGCACCCCCACATGAATGAAAAAAATAATAATCAAATTAATTGACATATTTACATATTAAACTTAGATTACTAATTTTAAAATATCATAGATATTTTATTAATATCATACCTGATCTAGCACTTTAATTTACACAATCAAACTTCAGAGTACATGTGGTAGATACCACCATAATTATGATTCTAGGTAGAGTTCTTAATAATTTTAAATTTTATTAAAGTATATTAACACAAATTAATTTATTTCAGTCATTAGATGAAAACAATAAATTATAAGATTTAAAAACTACAATCCTACAATTCAAATAATTTTCATGAAATATAAAACAAGACATTCTCAAATGGGTAATTTCAACTGTGTTAGTTAAGCATTCAAAAAACACAATTTAATGTCATATATAGAGAAGCATAAAATCTTTTTGTAGTAGTATTTTGAAAACATCAATAAATTTTGCAGTTCCCAACAATGTTCTAAAAAATACCAACTTACCAACACTAAAAGATCAAATTTTTGTTCCAGAGGCATGTAGTGAGGCAATTGAAGGATGCATGATAAAGCACAGTCCAACAAGCCATACTGTGAGCCCACCAACTGACTACCCAAGCCTGAGAAGTAGCAAAATAATAAGAAAATAATTAACTAAAAACAATGCTATAGATGCACAAACAACAATGTCTTAACCACTACACCCATTCAAAAATAAAATTTGAAATATTAATAACAAATAATGCACGATCAAATAAAATAATTGTGGTTAATTAACACAATTTACTTGAATTGAGAGCAAAATGAACAACTTACAGTAGCTAAAGTTTACAGAGAGCCAAAACTTGTATTTTCCAACGAGCTTATTACTTTGCTAAATTTGAAAGCATTTTTTTAAACTTACAGTTCTCATGTGTCAAATTAAGAAGAACTTTCAGAAGTGTCAAAACACAAGACAAAAGGGCAGCTCCCGTCCCCTCCAGATTACTGAGAGGTACTGTGTCATTGATGGCTGGCAAAGACTGGAGAGGGTGATGAGGGATACTAACTCTGCATGCTCTCATCATCCTAGAAGGCATTAGAGTAAAATATATATATTATGTTAGTATACTAGTTTCCAAACTATTTTTTTAATAAAAATAAAACATTATTAAAACTATTTGCATTATCTTCTATATCACTTATTAACCAGTTCTCTTGTAAGCAAAAATTAGTGTTTCAAACCATTCATTCTCAATACTTGTTTCTGTGAAAAATAATGGCCCTTTTCACAAAAAACAATGTTGTTCAAAATTTTGTATTTCTGTCATTTTCACTTCAAACAATTATTATATTAAACCAAAAGTTAACTGGAAAACTAAGTATTTTCTTAATCCCTAATATACAGAATTATGCATCATAATTTCTCAAAACCAAGGTTGTTGTTTTTCTAAATGATCAGAGCTACAAACAGAGAGAAGCATAATGAGTTAAATTGCATAATATCTGGGGGGTAAGGTTTTTCATATAGAGTTTATATATCAAACCAATAACTTAAAAGTATATCTTTTAGTTTAGAGGCATTGTCCACTTACATGATTAAGACTGACGAATAATGAAGAACACAATATATGCAAGTCACTTTTCCCAAACGTACCTCCCCAGGCACTAATGCAATTGTAACTCAATGACTCATCAAAATAAGTATTAAGTAATGTTATACAGCAATATCTCTATTAGATTCATGAAGCAATGTATGTTTAATATATTCTGATAACAATAAAATGCTATAAGAATAGAGATAAAAACACATTACTCTGAATACAAAATTAAACATTTTCTAATATAACACATGAAATAAAATTCTGAATAATCATATTACATTAGATTAATTTAAGGAGAAATAGATTCATAACATACAAAAATATGGCACATCTATAGTTCAGTGTTGGTTCAAAGAACTTATTTAACATTACTACTAAACTAAGCAATATACACCAGGATTAGGTACTTTTAATCAAGAAAACAAGTACTGTATAAAATATTCAATTTAATCTCATCATAACCAGATAAATTATGCATTTACTTAAGGGGGAAAAAAAAAGTTAATGAATAGGTATTTTTAGATATTTTGAAATCATTAATAGGCAATATAAAACCAAAGGAATGCTAACTTTTAAAATACATTTTCATTTCTGTATGCAAATTTGTACTAAACTGAAAGAATATCAAATTATTCAAAACTGATAAATGATTTTCAACAAACACAAAACCTATTTTACACCTATAAAGAATTGCAGAGATAAACAGTGCATGAAATGATACAGTTGCACAGCTTACCTAACACACGATGACACAAGGGCTGATTCCTTATAGTAAAGAAGATATGCCTGATTATCACCATTCATGTATGTTACCTAAAACAATAACAAAAAATTTAGATATATGTTTACACACCCATATGCTAAAAAATAATAAATCTACTGGTACCACATGCCACTACAATCTGATACACACACATATATCAACAACAAAATAAACTTTTGTATGCTCCAGTAAATCTATCTATTGGTGGTGTATGTTTTTAGATTTCATAGATAGAGAATATGCCAGATGGTATATGATACTAAGAATGTCTAATAAAATTTTTAATAGCATTTGTAAATGGGGTTTATAATACAGTTACTGAAACAATTTAATGGATAAACTAAAAATATAATGAGAAACTAAAAATAAAAAAATAGTAAATACTAAAATATATATATTCCTAAACTCACTAGTAATTTTTTTTTTACCATTTACTCCATTGGCACAATTATTATTCCTTAGTTTTTACATAAAATCTGGGGTTGGTTGTTTGAGTAGAGTTTATTGGCACAAAACAACAGGGCTATCTGCACCAAACAGCTGGTAAAAATACTAGAAATTAAAGACTAAAATGTAAAAGGAAAACATGTTAAAAGCTAAAAAAAATGCCAAAAGTCAGGTAACAAAATTAAATAGATTGAAAAAGGTCAACGGCCTGTAAAAAGCTAAAAACACAGTCAAGCTGGACAGCATCACCATCGCCAATGACACTGTCCAACGTTAGGGGCAAACCTTGAGAAAAAACATCCCACCATTTGCAGTCACAGTAACGGCATGAAAGCAAGACATGGGCAATTGTGACTTGAGTGTCACAAAGGCCACAGATTGGTGGATCAGTCCCACATAAAAGAAAACAATGAGTAAAAAAACAAAACAACTTCCTCCCAACGATCCATACAGAAACTAGACAGCCAAAAAACAACAGAAGGTTTGATTTAGGAAAGCTTGTTATGGATGTTTTCACCCCACGTTGACTGTCAACTGGCACAAAGCCATGCCCTGATCACAGGACCATAGCCAATATATGGGATAGACACTGCTGTGAAAGCACCAGAGCAGATGGACTTAGCTGTGGTGTCAGCAAACTCATTCCCACAAATATTGATATGGCCAGGTATGTCAACGAGAACAGGGTGAGAACTCACATTAAACAATTCCAGGGCCAGTAGGGAGCTAAGAGAACCAGTATAAATAGCACAGTTAGTGTAATGTTTGGCTTCAACACGATCCAAGGCAAAAGAAAACACATACAACTTGGCAGTGAACACAGAAACTGTAAAGGGGATCCTGTGAGCAACTAGCAAGCTACAATAAACTATGGCAGAGCCCACGAGTCACCTGATTTTGAACCATCCATAAAAACGGGAACAGAAGAATGGTTCCAAAGATATTCAAGAAAGAGAAGATGGTACTTCCAATTGGGGGTATCTGTCTTCCTCTGATAACTAAAAGAAAGGTCACAGGTTGGGTGGTAACAAGCCATGTAGGAACGGGCTGGTCATCAGAATCAGCAACATCATCCAATGACAGACCCAATTCAGCCAGCTGTGCCTGGATACAAAGACTAAATGGAGGAATGGCAGACTGCCGATTATATAAAAGCAAATCCGCAGAGGAAGGAAGACACAACCCCAGGTAAGATGCCGTGGTAAGGATCAAAGCTTGGTAGCATTTTACAAAGAAAGTTGCAAACATCTGAGGTGAAGAGGAGGTTCATGTGACTCAATGTACAGACTCTGGACTGTTGAGGTGGTGAAAACTCTTATAAAGAGCCAAAGCCCCAGATTGTGTACAGGATTCAACATTCTCAAGGTAGAGTCCCTAACTGAACCGCAGACCATAGACCCATAGTCCAACTTTGATCATATGAAGGTATGATAGATTTTGAGCATGGAACATCTATCTGCACCCCAAGATGTGGAAGAGAGGATGCAGATGATGTTCAATGCCCTTGTACACTTGACATAAGGCTGCTTAACATAAAGAATGAAAGTAAGCTTCCAGTCAAAGATAAGTTCCAGGAACTTAGTCTCAGCCACCAAGGTCTCATCACCACCAAGATGGAACTCTGGATCAGGATGTAAACCCCACTGATAGCAAAAATGTATGCAAACGGTTTTAGAAGAAGAAATTGTGAAGCTGTTTGTCCTGGTCCACCCAAACAAGTGAGAGAGAGAGCATTCTGAAGTTGTGACTCAATAAACCTCATGTTTGACGACCCACAATAAATGTGGAAGTTGTCAACATAGAGGCTGTTTGCAACAGTAGGAAGAAGTTTTTCAGTGATACCAATGATCTTCATACTGAAAAGTGTGACACTCAAGACACAGCCCTGATGAACTCCAAGTTCCTGTGTAAAGGATTGGAACAAGGTCAAACCCACACGGACTTGGAAATTCCAGTCAAGTTAAAAGTTATGAATAAAAATGGGTAAGTGGCCATGCAACCTATTTGAATGGGGTCATGCAAAATGCCAAACCTCTATGTAGTGTCATATGCTTTCTCAGAATAAAAAAAATAGAAACAAGATGCTCTCTCTTGTGGAATGCTTTCCTGATCAAGGTTTCAAGACAAATCAAGTTGAACATGGTGGAGTGCTGTCTACAAAAACCACACTAGGTGGTCCAGAGGAGGTTGTTAGATTCAAGGAAATAAACAAGATGTACATTAACAATCCTCTCTAAAACCTTACAAAGACAGTTAGTCAGAGCAACTGGATGATAATTAGAAGGAATCTTGAGATCTTTCCCAGACATTGAGAAAAGGAGAACAATAGCCTTAAGCCATACATCTGGAAAAAAAATGCTCCTGCCAAATGTGGCTAAAAACAACCAGAAGAAAATCAAGAGAGGCAGGAGAGAGATGGTGCAGCATCTCATAGAGAACTTCATCAGGTAACTGATGTACTGCCAGACTAATGAAGAGCAAGTTTAAGTTCCACCAGTATAAATAGGTAATTATAATTATAAAGATGATCTATCCAAAAGGAAATTGCAATCTCTCGGCCTGAGACTTTATAGTTAAGAAGGCGGGGGGAGGAGACAGAAGTGCAGAAAAGGTGGTAAAAGCACTCCCCAAGAGTATCAGCAACTTCCTGGCCATTGAAGAGCAATATAGAAAGGGAATGGTATGCATACTTCCCACTGACCTTCAAAATCTTGTCCCAAATGAGTTTGGAACTGGTGGTAGAAGAGATGCTGGTAGTGAACTTAATCCAGAATTCCTTCTGGCTTTGATGCCTGACCAGCCAGGCATAGGCCTCTTGGGAAGCAATTCATTTGGAAAAAGTGGGATACCTACAAAAGATATACCAGGCCCATTTCAGAGCCTTCCATGCCTGTTAGCAGGCAGGAGACCACCATGGATGAGTATACCATGGGAAATGTGTCAAGGTTTGGGGAATAGAATGAACAGCTGCATGAATAATACAATCAGTTACTGCCTCCACACAGTTGTTAATAGGTGGAAGACAAAGGACAGCAGGATCAAGTTCTAAAAGAGCAGTGAAGGAGAGCCAGTCAGCCTGCTACAACTTCCACCATGACAAAATATCCAGAACACCCATTGAGAACATCTAACACTGGTACTTAGTTGACCCTAGCCCAAAAGGACCAGCCAACTGACCCTGGGTGAATCACTCCAAGCCACCCGTCTACAGGAATTAAAGGCCAAAGTGATGTGTTGAAGTGCCATTGACATAAACTGACCCATCAAGTTGACACCCCTCAACCACCAGGATCCTCTCCTCCCCTTTACAGGATGACATGCACAGCAAACATGTGGGTGAATGTTCAAATCCCAGAGGAGGTAAAATGAAGATACAGAACCTACACTGGTTATTTATTTGTGATTCACATACAATTCTTCTTTTTATTTAAAGGCCAAACATTTGAATATAATCTGGTATTCTTATGATTGTTGATTAAAAAACTATCTTATATATTCACTCATTTTCTACTTCATTGATTTTCATTAACATATTTCTTTTCATACTTTATTTTACCGACTTCAGAAGTCATCACTTCTAGTTATACATCACAAAAAACATTATAAAACTAACATAGATTTATCAGATCAACTACTGAGATGATATTTTTGCTAACAGTATTCTTGGTCAAAATCAACTTGCATCTTTTCAATAACTAATCTTTTCTTTTACTTATGTGCATTGTTTGTATAATACTTAACAAATAAAGCTTTGAGTTATCCAACTATTTCAGGGATGAAAAAGAACATCTAAAAATCACAGACCTGTGATTTATTCCTAAGTCTTCTAATCTATCCATTAACCACTATTGGCTCGGCTGAGTTCGTAACCCCAAAATGACTATATAATAACTTTTAATATGTGTATCTTCATGAAATTTGGCAAGCTTGTAGTAAATTTTACAAGTCTTTTGTACACAGAAATTCTGAGTTTTAATTAAGTATTTTTACTACAAACTTGTCCACGTCAGTGTTGATTACTCTGAGTGTAATAGTTTTCTTCAACTGATAATTGTCAAATTTCATTTGTGCTACCTCCAAAACTTCCTTAACAAATGTTGAACTTTTTCTTCAGTAAAACTATCTTTTATCTTTAATTTTTTACCATAACTCTATATGCATTCAGTCAATTTGACCAACCTCATAACCAATACAAAAAATATGAAATAAATCTAAATTATCCTTTTTTTCTTTCTAGAATGACTGCAATGTGTAAAAAGAAACAAATTCTTTATCCTAAATAGCTGAAAGCTCATAACAGTATACACCTACTTAAACATTATGGTTTTATTGCCCTTTAACTCATGTTTAAGTTAGAAACCCACCTTGCAAGTTGTAAATCACTTAGCAAACATGTAGCTCAAGTTACTGGATTAAATTACATAATGCACAGTTGTTCACAAGCATACCTTGTAAAGAATTGTTATTATTTATCCTTATCTTACCTAATCTAACCTAACAAGTTTCTAATTTTTACATTTTAGTTACTTTTATAACAATAAATAAAGAATACACATGAAAAACAAGAAATATGGTCTTACCCATGTCCTTGTTTTTTTGCTGT